TAAAATAGCACCAACAGCCACAAATGCAGATTCTTTTAGACTCCCTTCCTTAAGACACTGATGCTGCAGTTTAAATTATTTATTTTCATTCTTGCCTCTCCTCCTCCGGCTGTTGTCTGTCTGGTGATGGGGAGGGACACCACTGACCAGAAAATAGAGGCTCTTCTGCACACTGTCAATCAGAGACCGAAGGAAGCTTGTTGGAAGGATGGAAGAAAATTAGTTAGAGGCTGTCACCATGCATACCGTTTGCATCAGATGAGAAACGATATACTGTTAATACTTAAATCAGGAAGGAATAGCAGAATAAAAAAAAATATTCGACCCTGTTTCTTTTCCTTGTCCCACTTTCTTTTCACCACGCCAGTATCAAAAGTCTATGTATATGCTGCATATTCCCAGGAATATCTGGCAATATCTGCAAGGGCACAACTTTGTAGACATGGCAAGACAAATGCTTTATTAAATGTTATGCCTGATGCCGAATTCTAAGTTTGTTCTTTTCCACCCAAATTTAATATTTGGAGGTTTTGGTACATATAAGCTTGACAAATCAACTTTCTGTTCTTGAGTTAAAGGCAAATAAAAAGCATTCAGAAAACTTCATGAACATCAAATGTCAATTGCAGCACAAGATTTTGATACGACTGTACGTAAATCTGAAACATATGGATTGAATTTTCCTTGCAATATTCTAGTGTTTGGAAGGAAAATCTGTGCAAAAATGTGTTGCGGGTTTTCTGAAACCCCCAAAGTTGAAAAAACATTTTGATTTATTTAGGTTTAGAAATGGGATAACCATTTTGCACCCCAGGAAACTTAATTAGGTACCACATTCAGTTCTGCACTGCATGGCACAGGGGCCTGAATGAGTGATCCCCTCTTTTCAGTTGTATTGGACGGTTTTAAGTACATTTGAAGTACGGAATCTAATCAGTGGAGGAGCCAAGAGGTTTCCTTGTGGGGCTCTAACTACCCCATATAATCTCCATCAGCTTCCCCTCAAGTCACCTCCAATAAACATACAATAAATAAACAATAAACAAACAGAAGATGCAAACCCAAACAACCACACCACTTAAGTAAAAACTGCAAGGTTGTTACACAAACTAAGCCTCCAGACAAGTTTCCCTAGCCTACAGAAAATTCCTGTGTCTCCACTGCCTGAAGTACGGAGAAACACTGACGACCACCCTGATTTTGCTTGGCTTTTTCGGATCTTGTCTCAGACCTGAATCCTTTAGCTTGACTTAACCGCATTCCTCTCCAACCCTCAGCAAAGTTCCATCCAGGAGCCCATGTCCCAGCAGGTCACACCATTGTGTTACTCTGCTGGGTCACGGGGATTCACAAAAGGTACCAGGAAGAAGCCGGCTAACATAACGTTTACAGGAAGGTTGCGCTGCCATGGACTGCTCTACCGGATCAGGATGCGGGTTGTCCTTCAAAGACATTGATTTGCAACTGCATTTTAGAAATGTCTCCTTTTCCAGGTTAGAAATCTTTTCCAAATTAGAGATTCAGTAAATGGAATTGGGTTAAGACTTCCTTTTGCTTGCCTTTCTAAAGATGTAAGAACGTTACACATAAACACAAAAACCAACACACAAGGAAACAGTGTAAGCTTTTGATTCAGGAAGTTTTGCACATAGCAGAAGTTCAATTAATGTTACTTCTTCCTTCTTATTTCCCTGAATATTCTAATAACCATATTGCCTGGAATTTTGGTTCAAATCATCAAATAAATAATCAAAGCCAAACAAAATAGAAATCACATCATCAAAAACAACACCCACAGTCTGTTAACAAAGTTCTCAGCTTTTTTTGATGCCCAGGGATACAGAGATACTCCAAATTTCCACTCCGAAGTCATGACCAGTTGTGCAGGTTTGTCCTCAGCAAACTGAGAGACTGTTCAGGATTAATTACAAAATGGAAGGTCTCTCTCTCTCTCTTTTTCTAAAATCGGTAAGCACTAAAAAGAGAAAATGACCCAATAGAAAAATTTAAGGAAGATAGATATTTTAATTTTTCACACAAAAATATACATTTTTCTAAGGCCACAATTACATTACAAAAGGTAAAGATTCATGCTTTTTTTTTTCCTCTGTCAGTTATCAAACACTGGCTTGAGAGATATTTGCTGTTACCAGGCATTGGGGAGTAGGTAAAAAAAAATTAGTCAAGAGAAAGCAATGATTCTGATTAAGTAAATTCCATTGAACTCTTTCTAGTAAGCATTATTCAGGTCATGAATGCTAATTTGTCCTGCAGGGGGCTGTGGGTAATTACCCAGAAAAACTATCAGCTTTATTGAGTTGCTACAAAACAGTATAACTGCATGGTACACTGTAAAAGAAGACAACCTTGATGTGTACTCACAGAAGTGGGTATTTTTCCCCCCCACTGGGAAGATTTTATAGCTGAGAGAGAAATGATAATAAATGGCATTTCGCTTAGAAAAATAGAGCCACGTCAGCGTCACTTCCTGTTTAATAGTCAAATAAAATTCCTGACATGCATAGACATGTATCTGAGAAGTGCCACCAAAACACCCAAACACTTTTAGCTTTCTGCATATTTAAAATTGCGTAGAATCAGAACCGTCTTAAAAAATGAAGCAAATATGGCACATTGGCCGCGTTCCAGCAACTACACAGAACTGCTGACATTACTAAAATCTAGATAATTTAGTCCCATATGGGAATCCATACCACAATTATGTTGTCCCTGCTCCGACACAGCCCTGATTTTGCACTTCTTTAAGCCTGGCTTTTTATAATCTTAATTCCCTTCACCAATAAAGCAATTTGCATTCACATAGTCTTCCTGGCTAAGACAGAAAGAAGAAGAAATCTGTTACATGACCTTGGTCTCTTTACAGTTGATTACAAGGAAACAAAGTCTTCAACTAACCCGTTCTCTCATCTTTTTTTAATTGATGTGAAACATCACACTATAAACTGTTGATGGCTACCCGCAGCAGGCTGGAGACTCACATATTAAGATGTAGGAGGCTCACATGTTTAAAATCACTTGGTTTGCTCATTTAGCACGATGAGGTAAAACTCACACTAAGTTCACGCAGATGTGCATCACGGACAAACACCTACATATTAAAGAGATGGCATTCCTCTACGAAAAAAGGCACAGAGCTATTACCAAATGTTGAGATTTAAAAAGTTGTTTTTACAACTCTCCATCCTTTACTGAAATAATTTGAAAAATGTGCTTGCTTGGTTCACTAAGGCCTATCCTGACACTTCATAAGTTTAACAAAAAATAATCATTTCCAGAACATTGTTTTCTCTGTAATTTGGTCCAAATAGTGTCAAAGTCAAATATTCACATGAAATGTGTTTTTCTTTTTGCCTCACCTTGCCTGCCTTAAAAGACGAAGCAGCACAGAAGAACCATGTGGCAAGTATAATCATATCAAACAATTAAACTTCCATGGGAAAAGTGAGATTACTAATTAAAAAAAAAAGAAACTCTTGGGGCGCCTGGGTGGCTCAGTCCGTTAAGCGTCCGACTTCAGCTCAGGTCACGATCTCGCAGTCTGTGAGTTTGAGCCCCGCATCAGGCTCTGGGCTGATGGCTCGGAGCCTGGAGCCTGCTTCCGATTGTGTCTCCTTCTCTCTCTGCCCCTCCCCCATTCATGCTCTGTCTCTCTCTGTCTCAAAAATAAATAAAACGTTAAAAAAAATTAAAAAAAAACTCTTTTGGTCACCCTTTTTCCCTACACAAAGAAAATAAGAAGTGCAGATTACCTATACTTATTAACAGCAATGCTTTTGGAGGACTAAAATATTAAAGGAACAATCCTACAGGTCCCTAGTCATCTGTGTATCGAGGAGTCTGTGGTCTTCTTTAGTTGTGGTCTTAGTTAAAAGGGCGACAACATCCCTCGAGGTACCAGTAGGTACCATTGATTGCCAATGATGATTTATTTGGGAAGGATGTTACCCCACATTCAAAACAGTTGAGTGACAGTTGTATCTGGCTGTCGCTACCTGAGATATTTCATATTATTTTAGATTTAATATAATGTTTACTCTGAAGGGTAGGGATCTATTTTGTTTATTGAAACTTATTTTTTTTTGGTCCAAGATCAGGAACTATTTCCACACGGTCTTTGTTTATTTTTTTTTTTTTTAATTTTTTTTTCAACGTTTATTTATTTTTGGGACAGAGAGAGACAGAGCATGAACAGGAAAGGGGCAGAGAGAGAGGGAGACACAGAATCGGAAACAGGTTCCAGGCTCCGAGCCATCAGCCCAGAGCCCGACTCGGGGCTCAAACTCACGGACCGCGAGATCGTGACCTGGCTGAAGTCGGACGCCTAACCGACTGCGCCACCCAGGCGCCCCAACACGGTCTTTGTTTAACGTTCACATTAAGCACCAAGAGGTAGTTAAAAATGTGAAGCTTTGATTGTGTCCCTTGTTAATATGATTAAGCTTGCAGGGCATGCTCTTCATTTACTTTCTTGTGAAAACTTGTGAAAACTTGTATACACTCACATATCAAACCCAGAAAGCTATTTTTTCCTTGTCAAATAGTTTTTTAAAAGGAGCCTGAAAAAGGCACTGACTATGAAAAAAGACAACCCAATAATGGAGAGTTCAAACTGTTCATGTGTACTAATAATGAAATCCACCAAAGTATTTTTCATTCTTTCTACACCTTGACAGTGACAAAAAGGAGCCAACATAACTTTTCCCCCCCAGCGGATTAAAAGCAGCTCTCGGTTTTCACTGTAACTATAACCTATGTCTAGTAATGGCCTTTCAGTAGAATTAAAAAAAAAAAAATCAATATTATCACCAATGCATATCTTCTCTGGTTCTAGCCTTGAGAATATAAAATTGTTTTTTATCATGGCTCATTTTAAGGGAAAATGAGTACCATATGTATTTCATATATAGTATTAAAGAGTTTGAATGAGTGTGTTTGTCAGGTTAACACTTCTGGTTTTAATAAGGAATTTTGTTTTTCAGCTCTCTTTTCATTGCTCACCTAGGACCTAATCTGCCATCCATACTCTGAAAAAATTCCCTCCAGACTGCAAACTCGGGCCGCGTGAGGACTTGTCGAATGTGTGTTCAACTGGAGGATAGACACCTGAGAAATATTATTATATTCAGCTTTCACATTATGGTTATCACGCCCAACACAGCTAGCCCTGTAAGTAATAATTATTAACACGAATGTTAGTTCAGTCTAATTTAGTTCATTAGCAGGATAACTCCTTTGATTTCCAAAGAGGCATCAGGACATGTGAATCAGTGGGTGGTACCGGTGTGTTTATTACCATCATTCATTTAACTTTTGCTCCTGACGGTGGTGTTTGTTGAGTGAACAGACGCTGAATATGTAGCAAAGCTCCACAAACTTCCTTTTCTGGACTTGAACGTGTGCAGAGAAAGCCTCGGGGTCTTCCTTCATCTGTCACCCTGGAATTCCCTCTGTGGGGCGGACTTGCAAGGATTAAGAAAGTTGTCCCCAGCATGTATTTCACTAAATCCTCACATCCCATTCAGCACGGCTGCTGCCCGAACAAGTTCCTCCTGTTTGCACACAAGAAATGGCTGGTGCAAACAACTCAATAGACAGCCTGCCTGGCACAGTGAGGCAGGTGTCAGTTCAGCTTGGTGCCAGTTGTTAATCCATTTGCTTTACATAAAAGATGGAAAAATAGGGCTTTGTTACTTGAACTAGTTCTTCAGGCTCTGTGTAAAGGAGGCTTTTTTCATTCATGTTTTTTTTTTTTAACAGTTTCCAACATCATAATGCTTCTTGTTAGGAATCTGGTAATATGATTTCTTCCACAATGCAGACAGGCACCAGGTTTACAGTAAATTCATACGAACTGTCTGTCAAAAGCCTGTCTATTCCACTTGGGTTACAAAGCACGTATGTGAATAGGGCAGGAGGTCAAAACAGTGTAGGATGGCAGATAGAGTGGTAAAGAATGAGCCGGGAAGCAGCTTTTTGTTTCTTACTAATATCGGCGGCATCGTTTTTGGCATGTCACTGATGTATTTTTTTCTAAGTGATTTCCCACGAAAAAAAGACAGTACACCTTGAGCTGAACGACAGCGGTATTGTCCCCAAGAGAAGCAAAGGCCACTAGACCCTAAGATGCAGTTAATGGGGTATCAGAATCACGAGCGGGCCTGTTGGCTTTGTGTGTTGTTGTGCATTGATCTCCGATTCATTTTGGCAGTTGTGCTACTCCATTACTCTAGATTTTAATCATTCTGCAAGACAGGGATTTGATGGGCGAGGAATGTGGCAGTGGTTGAAAGAAAGGAGGAAGCAAAGGGCGACTTTAATCAAAATGCGATTTTAGCATGAGAAGAGGGAAAGAGGAGCTATGATATTGCATTAAAAGATGGAAGAACAGTTCCTCTAGTGGACCACACACTTCTTGAATGGAGCCTACAGAAAAAGGGCACATGGGCTGGGAGCAGTTTGAGCTTACTTGTTCAAACTAAGTCCTGAAGCTATTTTCAAACTAATATTTAATATATATTCTTGGTGAATATTTCAACTTCTAAAGGTTATGTCAGAGGTAGATCTGGAAAATAAATGAAGGAACAGAGTTTGTAACATTTCTTGGGAGATGGCAATACCTCATCTATGGTCCCCACTTTGTGCTGTATAAAGGTGATATCCCGCATACAACCCGGGCACAGGGCCTCAGGATTTAATGCTCTGCTGCCACAGTCTTGAAATTCCTATTTTTCAATAATTGTGGAGTATGCTTTATTATGAGCCGTATAATCAGATGGATATCATGTGACACCAGCCAGTGAAAGTCTTGTATTGAAACGACTTCTCCCTTTCTTTAATCCAGATTTGATGCTGTTAACCAATTCCGTTATTTAAATTGACTAGTAAGATTGGAATCAATTTGATTTATCAGACTATGTTTCCCACTAATTAGGCCTTCTTTTTAGCCTCTTTCTGTGAATTTCATTCCTCCCCCCAGTTTTTCCTGATACATAACTGACATAGAACACTGTGTGAGTTTACGATGTACAATGTGATCCTCTGATTTGTCTACATTGTGGAATGATTATCACAATAAGGTTCGTTAACACATCCATCACCTCACATAATTGTACTTTTGTGTGTGGTAAGAACATTTAAAACCCATTCTCTTCGCAACTTTCAAGTACAGAATAGAGTACTCTTAACTATAATCATCATGCTGAATATTAGATCCCTAGGACTCATTCATCTTATAAATGGAAATTTGTACCCTTGTCCAACGTCTCCCCATTTTTTCCACCCTTCCAGCCCATTCAGTCCATTTTATTCTCTATTTCTATCAGCTTGGCTTTTTTTTTTTTTTTTTTTAGATTCCACATATAAGTGAGATCATACAGTATTTGTCTTTCTCTGCCTAACAGAGTTCACTTAGTATCATGCTTTCAAGGTCCATCCCTGTTGTTGCAAATGGCAGGATTGTATTCTTTTTTTATGGGTGAATAATATTCCATTATGTATTCCAGAAGTGGAGTTGCTAGATCACGTGGCAGCTCTGTTTTGAATTTTCTGAGGAACCTCCATACTGTTTTACTGATATATGTACCAATTCAGATTCCTATGAACAGTGCACAATGGTTCGCTTTTCTTACATCCTCATGAACACTTGGTGTTTCCTGGCTTTGTTTTGTTTTGTTTTGTTTTGTTTTTTTGAGAATTGCCTAGAGTTCTAACAGGTGTGAGGTGATATTTCATGATGGTTTTGATTTTCATTTCCTTGATCATTAACAATGTTGAACATCTTTTCTTGTCCTCTTGGCATTTGTGTGTCTCCTTTGGAAAAATGTCTAGTCGGGTTTCCTGTCCATCTTTTACTCAGATGATGATGATAATGACCATGATTGCTATTGAGTCACACGAGTTCCATATATATTGTGGATATTAACCCCTTACTGACATATTGTTTATAAATTTTTTTCTTTCATTCCCTAGGTTGTCTCTTCATTCTGTGAATTACTTCTTTTGTTGTGCAGAAACTTTTTAGTTTGATGTATGACATTCTTAATATTTTTATCTTTGGATTTGTGTTGTATGAAGTCTAACAGAATGATGGAGCATGGACAAAAACCAAGGAGATACACACAATACATGTGTCTCTTGTTCCTTATCTCCCATGAACAGAGAGCATCTGTGGTACCCAATGAGCACTGAATTCCAGTGGACCCATCACGTGTGTGTGGAAGCTCACTGAGTTTCAAAGTGAGCACAAGGGAAATGGGTTATGTCTGTCACTGAGGTGGTGGTGATATGATGACATAGAAGGCAAAATGTAGGGCGACACCTAGGTCTTTCCTGTTCAGCCTTCCTACTCTTCTGTGAGGTGGAGAGTGATGGTAGAATGTGCATAAATGAAGAAGTGAAATAAAGCCAACCGAGTTACCTCTGTGTCATCTTTCCACTATTCTGGTAAGAATAAAATGCATATACATATCTAAGATACAAAATAGGAGTTGTGTGATTTCAGTGATTCCGTGTGACTTAAATGCTCTTATAAAAATGGGCATTGCACGATATAAAATTGGCAAAATTCACGCTGAGAGCTTAAAATTTACTTAGTACGGCATGAAGTAGCAAATAAACACCAACATAAGTCACGCGAATATGACTATGTACAAGAGGAAAAGAAATCTGTGTATTTTAGGACCTTTAATACCATCCCCCACCCTCACTTTTTGAACAATATGACCCACATTTTAATTTTGCACTGAACTCCACAAACTACATAGCTGGCTGTGCAACAAGGAAATATTTCTACCAAGGAAGTAGAAAGTGGGATGGGCCCCCAAGTACCATAAGGTAAACTTTCCAGCTTTCTAAATGATTTTACCTTTGAAGGAGTCATTCAGTATTGATCACAATGATAGTAAACGGAACCCCTTCTTGTGATATCGAGAATCCACTCAGGCAGCAAACCTGTCAGTCCCCTGTCATTGCTCCACTCATCACAGCTCAGCAACTTGGTAGCTACCTTTCTGGTTATGACAAATAGTGTATGACCAGTTCCTACTGGTCATGCTGCCTTCTCATCAAGGAGCAAGATAAATGGCCATCATACAATTTGAAATGGAGGACTTGAAAGTAGCACATTTCCATAATACGTGGCCATGGAGGAGAATGCCACTAATTAGAACCCAAGGAGCACACAATTAAATTAATTAGTAAATGAACAATCCCCTAGAAGCCCCAAACAGTTCATTTGCCACTACAAGATGAGCCATTTGCCCATCCACACGAGTAGAGTCAATCCCTTAATAGAATTGCTTAATGCTAGTGTGTCTATGCAGAACTTTGCTATCAACGTCAGCCTTCTTCAGTCGAAGAGAGAGTGCTGAGGGGCTCCCTCTCAAGGGGAGTGTTAGCTCTCACATTCCCCTGGTGCTGCCATTGGTCTGCCAGCAACTGATCAAATCAGCACATGTCATCGGTGCCTCCTGTCATCTTAACCCAGACCATTTTCTCTAAAACAGCAACGCTCTCCCCTTGCTATTTGAAATGTTTTCTTCAGTCGCACTTAACTCTTTCTGACACATTATGTACAGCGCTGTCTTCTCATGGTCTGTCTTCTCTTAATCATACAGTTGGCCAAAGAAAGTCTTTTTTTTTTTTTTTCACTGCCATGTCCCCAGGGCCTAGAACACTGCCTGGCTGGAGTGGGCCCTCTGTGAACACTTGTTAGATTGATGAATGGGGGTGGGGAGAGAGAAGGAGTGGTTGAAGGTCACAAACAAGTTTGGGAAAGACTGGATTAAACGAAGCTCAACTATCTTCTTTATCACTGGACTTAACAGGCCTTTGATAATAGCTCAGTGTTGCTTGTCAATCTCCAACAGAGATCTAACGTAGCAGTCAATTGGACCTTGGGACTCTCCCCGCCTCCTCCCCCCACCCCCCCACCCCCCTGCTTAGAACAAGTATTCTTTGGAACACATTTTGGGAAATGTCATCTTAAGTGGTAATTTATTGACCTCACAGAATTTTAAATGAACCTTTTACCAGAGTAAATCCACCTCTTTCCTTCAAGTTCTTAATATTTTATGAAACAGCCTTTCTTGGGCTAATTAGAAAGGTGCTGCCATTTGTGTCTTGCTCTTTCCAGACTCATCATATTCTTGGATTTCACACTAAAAGAA